TTTTGAATAATATTAGTATAAAAGATAATAGTCATAGTCATAATAAGTGATTAGCAGCCTACCTTGCTCCTGTAATGACATGTTTAACATTTCTTCTTGCTATTGAAAGTAAAGTAGCTAGAAAACATCTCCACATCAGCAATACCTCATACAGGTGTGTTAGCGGAAATTAATTATGGCTTGAAGACTTCAGTTGGATTCTACAAAGGCAGAATGAGGTCATCCCACTGTCTGTCGATGCTCAGCCCACGTTCCTCATTAATATCACAGTAAGTGCAGATTAGCTGGACCAGAGGTTCACAAACTGTCCCGTCACATAGGTATGACTTAAGACGGACATTTGAGAATCACTGAGTTAGGCTAAGGCACGGTGGTCCAGTGGTTAGCATTGTCACACAGCAATGGATGGATGAGTTGGGCTAAGTCCACACTACTACGTATATACGTATACATAAATGTGTGTGTGTGTGTTTGTGTGTGTGTGTGTAGCAGTAGAGCTGCCCAGAACCTCCAGTAAGTTCTTTTTACCTGGTTGAGACTCTTATTTTGAAGGTGAAGACCTGGAAGACCTGAAACTGAGCTGGAGACACAGGAGCCAGTTACAAAAAAGGGTCAATTCTGCTTTTCTCTGGAAATCAGCTCCTGAATTTGTATTGCAGTCATTGGGAGAGGTGGAGGGTAGTCCCATCACTTTGAGGCTCACTATTCAAATTCTGTAAGTCTCTGTGCTTAGATAGACGCTTTCTATGAAACAGCACAAATTTGTCTTGTTTTCTCATAGCTGGGGGACTAGTTATGCGCCAAAATTTCAATACGGAAGATGAATAAGACGAATAAGTATGCAGAATAATAATATATGCCTTCAATGCTATTGCATTGCAGGCAGATAAAAATCACATTCTGGAGGGACTGCTCAGGCTGTAATGTAATGTTTATTTTTCTGTGAGTTTTTCTGTGGCATGTGAAGAACATCTAACTTCACATTGAAGGCCAGCAGCTCAGATTCTCCTTCGCAGGTTGGCCCTGCAAAGTTGCATTTCGTGAACTCAGAGCAGTTATTAGGTGGCTGTGTGGTGTGACAGTAAAATAGCAGGAGTCTTTAATCACACCTATGGTCAGCTTAAGTATAAAGAAAGTGAAACCAATTTGACTGTTGATAGAAGGAAGTATGAAAACCACAGTATCAATGTCACAAGCTTTTCTAAACTGTGGGCACGTAAAACTGCTTCTATGCCTTAAGTATAAAGAAAGTGAAACCAATTTGACTGTTGATAGAAGGAAGTATGAAAACCACAGTATCAGCTACGTAAGCTTAACCTTCAAATAGCCCTTTGAAGTTGTCAGGACCGGCCAAAATGACCTCACAATAATGCTTTTTAACCAAAATTGTCCTCACAATTTTAGAAAGACATGTACACACACGCAAAGAACCACACATTAACACACACACAAGTACACATAAATGCACTGTGTTGATTTACCTTGACTTGCTCTCACACCTGAGTTTAAAGGCTAAGAGTTAATCAGTGTAATTAGCCAATCAGAGTCAGCCTTGCCCATATCTGCCCAGTAACTGTCAATAGCACCTACTGAGACACTGGTTGCTGTAGCGACTTTGGCCACCAGGGGAGCACACACAATCCCCTCCGTCTCCCTAGGCAGACAACAGCTTTTAAGATGAAACTTGTATTTGAAATTTGGATCACACAGGGAAAACTACAAGTTCTATTGAAAGGATCACCTCACCACAGCTGTCCAAAGGGTTCATTAAAGAGATTGCTCTCTTATGTGTACCTGAAACTCATAACTCACTCCCAAGAGCTTCTGAGCTAAGTTTAACATGGGTGTCTATGGGTGCTTTGGACAGCCCTTTCTGGACTGGGGGTATTTCCTCCAAAACCGTAAAAGACATCAGAATGAGACCAAAACTGGGTGATACAGGACAAAAAAAAGTTGTGGGATTTAAGAAAGGGGTTGTCTGAATTTTTTTGGAGGAAAATTTTCAGGGATGGCAGTTAGAGTGCGCAGTTAGTGTCACAACTGTCAGGGTTTGAGGGGTAAAGCTGGACCCAAATGCAGCCAACACATGGGAGACGGTGCAGACAGGTTTATTAAACAAGAAGCTTACACACAACACTGGTGGGGCACAGGGGATGACAACAGGTAACATGAACAAAACGAAGACAAACCAGACTTGAACAGCTTGAGGGGAAACCATGGATGAACAGATTGAGGAAAATCCAGAAATCAACAGGCATGAACAGGCTAAGGATAAACCCCGAGACAACAGACGAACCGACCCAGACAAAGGGGAGCACAAAGACTGTATAGACAAAGGAGGCAAGGGTGATTGCACACAGGTGAAACACATCAGGGCGGGGCAGACAATCACCACACAGACACAGGACCAAGACAGGAAGCAAAAACACTGACACACAAGGAAACCAATTACAAAATAAAACAGGAAGTGCAAAAAGTCCAAACAAAACTAACAAAAGGTGTCTGCCATAGCAAACCATGACAGTTAGGTCCTGTTAGACATCGCTGAAGATGTAATAAACATCACAATACTCTACACTGAAGTTACAACGACACCACACCAAGCGAGTGAGAGGGAGGGAGAGAGAGAGAAGTTTTTCTGTGGCATGTGAAGAACATCTAACTTCACATTGAAGGCCAGCAGCTCAGATTCTCCTTCGCAGGTTGGCCCTGCAAAGTTGCATTTCGTGAACTCAGAGCAGTTATTAGGTGGCTGTGTGGTGTGACAGTAAAATAGCAGGAGTCTTTAATCACACCTATGGTCAGCTTAAGTATAAAGAAAGTGAAACCAATTTGACTGTTGATAGAAGGAAGTATGAAAACCACAGTATCAATGTCACAAGCTTTGCTAAACTGTGTTGCATGGAAAGGCGTGCATAACACACTTCTGTGGGAACAAACTAAATGTCTCTTAGATTGATTACATGGGCTTTCACTCACTGCAACATTTACCATTCTGAGAGGTAAATTTAAACCGGATTATTTGAAATGTAGATATTTTTACGTCATCACTTGGAGAAAAAAAGGTGGCGGGGGTCATTCCAGTGTGCTCCGGCAGCTCTACACCCATGGGGGGGTAGACATTATGTTACCCTATGAGCGAGAGAGAAAGAGGACTGACCAAAAAAGCGAGCACGTCCTGTCTTTCCTGACTTTCTCCCTCATGGACTCCAAAAAAATGTTTTATTTATTAAGAGCAGCAGGATCAGAAACTGAACTAAAGAACCTGTTCTGTCTCTCCGTCCATCTCCTACACACAACAAGCAGCTTCAATACAATCAGCTGATCAGAGTGTGTGTGCTTTCGTGTTATAAGCATCAATAATATGCTGTTGTATATGTTAAACTATGGCAGGCAAATTAAACTTAGTATTAATTTGATATTACAAAATTAAGTTACAATATTAATGGGAAAACAAGTGAAATATCATCTTGACATTTGCAAAGGCATGAGCAATCGACGATCGTTCTGATGATCGTTCATCGGCACCACCCTAGTATTTCCTCTAATCAGAAGTTCATTAGAGTTCACTGGGACACACTCAGTTCATAAGAACATCCTGTCACTCACATGCATATAAATACTATATATACCACAATGGAGCTCAGACTGCTGGTTATGGTACTATTTAAGAGCTGTGATCAAATTTTATACTACTTCCAATGTCTGACAACAGAATCAGGAAAACGTCATCAAGAACAATTATATTGTGATTATATTGTATTCATACAGTCAGGAGCAGCTGGTCGGAAGATCTGAGGGTTCCATTTAAGGCCTTAAAAACAAATAGAAGAAGAACCTTGAACTCTATAGGATATTTGAGTTGTAGCAAGTGCAGGGTTGCAAGTATGGGTGAGATGCTGTCTCTGCTCCTGGTACCACTTAACAGTCTGCAGCACTCTGCACCAGCTGTAGTTGAGATAAAGCGGACTGGGTAAGCCCAAATAGAGGGCATTAATCCAGCCGGGAGGAAATTAAGGCGTAAATGACAAACTTTAAATCATTGAAAGAGAGAAATAATTTGAGTTTGGCAATATTTCACAGTTAGAAATAGCAACCTTTCACAATGGTGTTGATTTGTTTGTCAGATTTTAGGGGTGAATCAAAGATGACACCAAGATTTTTGGCTTGAGCATGGAGGTGTCGGGGGGACCAAACGAGACCTCTTCAGTCTTGCTGTCATCTAATTGAGGACAGTTATTTGCCATCTAATTTTTCCACCTCATCCTGGAGGCAGTCAAGGAGAGAGCTGTCAGGTTTACACCACCTAAGACATTTAATACTGACACAAAGAAGAGGAAGCCAAGAGCATTATTTCTTACTCGTGAGGAGAACGGACAGAGATATGCTCAGTTACAATCTCCAACCCGCTCTGAAGCATATTCCGCCGAACCCTTTCTTTTTATTATCTTTGGGCGTTCCCTAATTACATGAATGTTGCTGCTCTAAAGGGAAGGGGTCACACAGCAGCAACATGATGTACACTCAAATACATTAGCGTAATGGTGCATCAACTTTGCAACGTGTGATGTGAAACCAGCCTAGACTGGGTTCACCTTGGGTGCACTTCCCGTTTTCGCCAAGATAGCTCATGCTCTGGCTGACTTATCAGCCTGCACACACTCAGCTGCGGTTTCCTGTAAGATAGCTCAAACACAAAACAGACTGCACACACACCGTTAGTATGAAGTAGTTAATACATAATGGTAGACAATATGGGATAACTTATGTACAATTATTCTATCAAGAGCTAACTGATGACTGATAACTTCATATCATTATTGCCAGGTTGTAATGGGAGGTATAGCCGTGTGGTGGTTGTGAGATGGTTATTCAGCTCTGTGTTCTCAAAACAAACATCCTGATGAAAACAAAAGTGAAAATGTGTGGTTTGTGGTCAGAGGAGACGTCTTCAAAACGCAATTGCAAATAGAAGGGGGAGGATAATTTAATATGTTAATTTCTGTGTTGACATGACTGATGGCTACATATATTGCCACACTCACCACAGGACAAAGACATTTTATCTTTCACTTTGTTCCATTACAACATCAAAACAGGTACGATTTTAAATACCGATATCATGCTTATGGCAGAAGAAAATTGTAAGAACATGATAAAATGAATTGTATTTTTTAAAACTTTACAATCCTGGGATTTTCCGTCTGCTTATTGTAATTGTTGGTGAAAAATGTATTTCAGTTAAAAGTTTTAATAATTTTTCTGATCATGTTTAATTTTGATGTTTTTGGTTTCGTGCCACCGACTATTATAGACATAACAGTGATTAAACTCGACATGTATTTTAATTTTCAATCATTTTAATTGATGCCATTATGTTATGTTTTTCAATAATGTGGTCTTTAATACTTAAATTCCACCAAAAGAAATTTTAAAATTCTATTCTTGACTGAAATTAGTCCTCTTGCTGTTGCAGGATATGGGGTGTTAATATTTTATTGATACTTTTCAAGCAGGGAAACAGCTTTTCAAGCAGGGAGTGCACATTTTCCTTTAAAGCAAAAACCAAACAGTTCAGTCACACATGGGTTCAGAGTTTTACTATGTATGTAATTGTTTTATCCTCCAGCCATGGGAGCAAAAAACTCCAAATCCCAACCTCCAAGTAAGACTGTTTGAGAAAAATACTATAGTTCTTATTCTTGGATAAATTACACATTGTTGCATGATTACTGAATTTTTTCATAATCTTCTGTCTTATGTGAATATGTGTTGTGCATTTTTCAGTTCTCAGCCAACCATGGAGAAAAATAAACTGGGAGTAAGTATCTGCATCGTCACTTTTTCAAAAAAAAGTCTTCACAGCACAAGCTGCACAAATGTACTTGTTCTGATGGACTTTTTTTCTGTTTACTACTTGTTCTGTGACATCCTGATGAAACTTATCAAACAGAAAATGTCAACTCTGTGTAAAATTATATTTTAGTCTATAATGTAATGTTTCCTTTCCCAAGCAGAGACAAACAGACTGATCTACAGTTTGTGAAGCACTACAATCCTCAGACTGAAGGTCAGCAGCTCAGAATTCTTCTTCATGGGCCGGTTGGAGCTGGAAAGTCCAGTTTCATCAACTCGGTCCAAAGCGTGTTACAAGGAAGAATGTACATACAGGCTTTGGCAGATAACATCTCTCATGAGTCTTTCACTAAAAAGGTATGAAGAAATTTTGATTGTGTTAATAACATAGGTTTCCGAGGGGCGGTTTTGAAGCTCAACGTTGGCTGCTCCCCCACCACCATCTTGCCAGTACCTGATTCTGTTGAACTCCCAGCTAATCCAGAAATGGGCAAATGTGGAGGCAAGACTTTAGTGCATGCCAGTTTGTGGCAAGCATTCGTTCATCCAGCTGTCACTCAAAGCAGCATGCCCTCAATTATGCAGAACTTTAAGCCTTTACTAAAATGCAAACAGGTGATTTATATAAACAGTTGTCATGAAGGAGGAAATTAGCTCTAGAGACCAAAACTGTTTTTTGTACCAGGCTGCAAACATGTTTATTTCTGCTGTAAAGTTGTGCAATTTTAACATGGGAGTCTATGGGGATTGACTGTTGGAGCCAGACTCAAGCAGCCAGTTGAAGAAGTGCAGTGTTGGCCTCATTTTTCAGGCTCCAAGGTTGCAGCTTGGTCAAAACCTAGTATATGTCTGGACCACCTATAGTCCTGTTTTTATAACTGCAATGTCATCTGAGAAAATCACCAAACACATAAATTAAAGACTGAGCTGTGATTTCGACTGTACTTTCTTATCAAATAATCACTCAGAGAGAAAGTTAAAAGAGACACACTATCTTTTTTTCAAGTTATTTTTTCAGGTTTTTGCCTTTATTAAACTTATAGTGACAGAGAGAGAAAGAGAGATGGGAAAATTGGGGAGAGAGAGGGGATGACAAGCAAAAGTTCAAAAGCTGACCAGTGGTGGAAATATGTTCATTCAATCAGTTACCGACATTCCAGATTATGTGCTATATGTAATCCAAAATTTGACACAAAAAAGCTAACATAAGGAAATTGTACAAGAGAAGTCATTGTGCTCCACTTTAGACAGATTAACCCCCCCCACATGTTGGCAGATACGCTCTATAGTGATCATATTAACTGTACTTTTGTCCATAATGCTTTATAGTACACAACCTACAAGATCCAAAAAGAAAGCCCCAACACCTTTTATCCTTTTGTCTTCAACGACATCATGGGTCTGGGTCCAAACAAAGATGTCCTTGTGGATGATGTCAAACTGGCTCTGAAGGGACACATAAAGGATGGTTATCTGGTACAGTTGCTGCAAAGTTTTCATATTTCAGAGATCAGATTATTTTGAATTATATGTTTATTTATATGTATTGCAATTGTCATTTAACTGGATTTAAATTTGTTTTTCAGTTCAATCCTGTGTCTAAGATATCAGAGGATCACATGTTCTACAAAAAATCCCCAGATTTGAACGACAAAGTGCATGTTCTGGTTCTTGTCATTTGTGCTGACACATTACCTGTATTAACAGACGAAATTGTGCTTAAAGTTAAGGAGATCAGAGCAGCAGCCAGTGACCTGGGTGAGAGCGGAGATTTTTATTGTTCATTCTTTTTTGCAGTGACATTTTAGATCACATTCTTCTTAAAATCTCTTGAGTAACAAACACTTGCCTCCTGTAGTTTGTGCTTTCCTTCACTGACAGAGAAAAGCAGCAGTGGTCTTTGTATTAATGTCAGTTTTCTGCCTGTTGTTCTTGCAGGGATTCCTCAAATCGCCATTCTCACCAAAATTGACCGAACCTGTCCTGAAATAAAACAAGACTTAAAGAATGTCTACAAGCTTGAGTTCACAAAGAAAGAGGTAACTCTAATTAGTAATAATCACACATACCATACAATTTCAATATATGAGCATGATCCGACTTTTTCTTTCCTATTCCAAGTACAGATCAAGTTATGTGTTCGCTAATTTAAAATCTACAAATCTTTGTATCTTGATTAAGATAATCCCTTTAGGTGTGAAGTGAATTAATCCAATCAATTGAATTTTCTACATAATTTTGGATTTAAGAAAATGTTTGTTATATTGTGCAAAAATTATGAGAGTACGTCTTTACAGTGCATCAACCGTTCGACAAAGGTAACCACGTTGTTATTATTGTAACCATGACAACAAAGATTGTCTAATGTTGAGGAAATACTTATTTCTAACCCAAATCATGATCTTTTCCTAAACCTAATCAAGCCATGACCATTATTATAGTAACCATCGCGATGAAGGTAGGTACACTGCTCTCAGTACAGTCCGTGTGTTTATTTTTGTAACTATGACAACCAAGGTCCAGTATGCCTATCACTGTAGGGGTGCTATTTCAGGAGACACTCGTATCAGACAGTTGAAAAAAACAACCTGTATGGTTGTTCACGTTGGAGGAGTTGTTGGAAGTATCACATTTGCAAAATGAGTTTCACAGTAATGCCTGACACTTCCTTCATTTTAAAAGACATGATTGGTCTGTCATGTCTAGCCAATACCTGATCTACTTAGTAACATAAGTATTGCTCCAGCTGATCGAACTGGTGGAGTAAGTACAAAAAAGCCTTGATTGTCCCGAGCGCTGAACAGGAGTTTGTGAATCTTATGAATCTTTGTGAATCTTATCTTTCCTTTTATTTTTTCCTTGTACAATGTTTAATGATGTGCACCAAAATGCCAAAGCAAATTCCTTGTATGTAAAAACCCACTTAATAAACCAGATTCTGATTCTGAACAAAAACATGTTGTTGTTTTTAAATTCAGATGGAGAAGCTCAGTGCAGAAGTGGGGATTCCAATGAACTGCATCTTCCCTGTGAAGAACTATCATGAAGAAATCGATGTTGATAATGACACTGATGCACTGCTCCTGAGCTCGCTGAGAAATATCATCACCTGCGGAGATGACCACATCAACTTCAAGAATCAGCAAGCATCTTCAGACAGATATGCTTGATAAAGCATAAAAAGAGTGTATTTCACAATGTCAGAAAAATAATCTGAGACATTGACCAGCATGATTTCTAACTAACTCTTTAATGTGATTTAATTACTTGATTACTTTTTTTATACATACGTTTCAGCTTAAAGCTCCTGAAAACCTGCACTTTAATTTCTTTGTACTCTTCAGTAACATTAAATATTCACACAGCAATTAACATTAAACAAAACACCTTAAGGTATTATTTACTTTAATCAGATATTATATTATTAATTGGCATATCACCTTCTTCTGAGTTCTGCCCACTTCCAATTAGAGAAAAAAAAAAAGAAAATTTGTAAGTAAGATTGCATCACTTACAACATGGACACATGTTTTCAGGACCTTTAATTTGCTTTTTGAATTGCTGAATGAGTTTTATATTACTTTTTTTACATTTACAAAGATAACAAATCTTTGAAGCTGCAGCCATAAAATCATGGAGTTTTGTGATATGTTTTTTTGAACCTTAAGCACAATGTGACTATTATTACCATTAAATGTATTTCTGCTTTTGAAGAGTCATGTTCCACTTGTGACATGTAAAGTGACATCTAGGTCAACAAACCATTTTTTTCTAAAACTGTCAATTTATTTTCCAGTTTTCATTTAGTACAAAAACAAAGCAACAGACACCTAATACTTATTAAGGATTTTGGAGCCCCCAATAAAAGTTTCTGAAATGAAAAATCATACTTCAATTGTTTAACACAAACTAGTTAAAGGTGTTCAATAACTTTTGAAAAGTTCTTTGACAACAGCAGGTTTTTTTAACTTCATGGTGTGAGAGATGAGTCATTATGTGCTTTCTAATGCTTTCTGATAAATTCCAAGTCTAAACAACCTCTTTTGCCTCAAGGTTACAGCACCTCCCACAGACTGGAATGTGTCACTACAACTCTGTGACAGTTTACAATAACATTTTTGTGCTCAACGTAACATCTATTATTTAACATCAACCTACTGATCGGATTTCCAGTAACAGCCCTGCAGTTACATGTCAGCTAACCTACTATGTCCCTCCTAGCTAATGATAGCCTAGCAAAATTATTATTTAATTATTAGCATCTGCTCATCAGCTTAATCTTACTTGTGTCTACACTATATCTACACACAATTGATAAAACTGTCACTGTTGTAACTATAAGCTTCTGTTTTCTTAATAATCTTGCTAAAATATGTTGTAAACCGGTACTTACACGTTAGCTAGATCCTCTCAGTCCAGCTTTAGTGTGTTTGAGAAAACAGACACACCAGCTTCAGATGCTCTTGTTCAACCAGCATCGGTTTTCAATCATCGTCCCTCCTTGGCCACAGGTTGAAAAGGTACAGGATTTCACAAAATATATATACTGTATGTATAAAGTTGCACTAATATTATTTAAGTGGCAATGGACAGCTTCTCCCCCCTAGCATTTCCAAGTGTTATTACTGTTGGCGCCGCTGTCACAAAGACCAGATCAAATACAACAGAATATAGTAACTTTAGCCATTAATCGTTTTAGAGAGGTCACCATTGTTGTGTTGGGTTCATTCTCAGACAATAAAAATTACTTTGAGTTTAGCATTCAGAACTTTTTCTTCAACTCTTGGCAGGTGAACCATAACATACATGACTCCGGTTACATTCCGCGCTAACCAACTGGCTCCGCCCCTCGTGACATCCTTCATGGGTTAAATGCGAAACTGATTACATTACACCACATCCCCCTTACTTTAAGTTGAAGTGAACATTAACTGGGGCTTATGTTCAAGAACAATAATATCAATAACATAATGAGCATTCTTAATCCGTTTTTATTTTTTAAAACAAAATCACATTATCACATCTATTTCACATTAAACATAACCCTGAGACTACGTTTACCTCCCTATATAAACCACAAACACAGTTAGACTGTAACTTCAGTATAACAAGTTAAGTCTCTGTGGTTTTGTGACCTCTCTGCCTGAGCTCGTTCTCATGATAGCAGGCATGCTCTGTGAAGTCCCTGAGCCTACTACTGTAGAAGTGTCTGCTTCTGGAGGGTGCTCATGTTGATTCTCACTCTGAGGCTCTGACCCTGGTATAGGCAGTGTCCCACTGACCAGGTAAGACGGTCTTACCTGGTTCCTACTGGGTTGTATGGATGTCACTGTTGCCGTGTGCGTTTGCAGCAGTGATCCAAACATCATCTCCTGCGAGCTTTGCCAGATCTCTTGCTCTGTGCCTCTTAATGAAACGTTTTGCATCCATCCATCTTTTCACCCTCTCTGTATGACGGAGTTGTAGCAGGTCTGGGAGAGCCGGCTGCAAACTGTCTGGAAGGGCAGGAAGTGTGGTGGCGACGTCCCATGAGCAGCTGGGCAACCGTTACTCAGGGGTGTGGTTCGGCAGGCTAATAAGGGGTCTCTGGCCTTTTTAAGCAAGTTCTTAACTGTTTGAACGGCGCACTTGGCCTCACCGTTACTCTGGGGGTATTTAGGGCTGCTGGTTACATGGTCAAATCCATAGTCACCAGCAAACTCCTTCATTCCGTGTCCAGAGAATTGTGGGCCATTGTCACTTATGAGAGTCTCTGAGATGCCATGTTCTGCAAACATTGATTTCAGATGAACAATTACATCTGTGGATCTTGTCGGCTGAACTGTGCTATCTCTACATACCTAGAGAAATAATTTACCACCAGCAAATAGGTACAATCTCTGTGAGTGAATAGGTCTGCACCTAGTTTTTGCCAGGGTCTGTCTGGAAGTTTGATTGGCAACAAGGGTTCTTTCCTGTTTGCCCGTTCGTTGATGCATTCTCTGCACTTAAGGACTAGCTCACTTATCTGGCTGCTTAGTCCAGGCCACCACACTGTCTGACTGGTGCATTCCCTGCACTTTACAACCCCCTGGTGGCCTTTGTGGATTTTCTCCAGTGCATCATTTCTCATTAGCAGGTATAACTAAGCTTGTGCCTCGCAGTAGAAGTCCATCGTGCACACTTAGAACTGCTCTTTCATGCCAGTAGTGTGTGACCAGTCCTTGTAACTGGTTCCTGTCGGGCCAGTCTTCCACACAGTATTTCATGACTTGTGTGCAAACACTGTCATCACACAGCTGCTCGTGAAGCTCAGCAAGGTATCTATCACTTGTCGGGAGATTGTCTAGCACAGACTCAGCGTAGATATTAGTATCTTCCATCAGGTCACTATCAGCACGTGTAGTACCATCTCTGACTGGGGCATGAGATTGGCCATCGTGAGGCTTCTACCAGGTGTGTGTGATTGTGTAGGAGTACCTCATTAAGTGCCTCGCTCCAGGACAGCATGCTCCTATGTAGCCCCCCCAGATGAGGATGTCATTCATGTGGCAAACAACACCTTCCAGGCCTGCGGTAACCTCGGTCACCATCATGTTCTGGAAATGTTCTGGGGCGGAGGAAATACAAAATGGAAAGCGGTTAAAGTAGTAGCGCCCAAATGGCATGATGAAGGTGGTATAGAGAGCTGACTCTTTAGATAGGGGTATTAGCCAGAAGCCCATGTTTGCGTCTAGCTTGGTGAAATATTGTGCACCTGTCAGCATGCCCAGGGTTTGGTCTACAGAGGGGAGGATGGCTTTTTCCCAGCACACTGACTCATTTATGGGTGTCATGTCCACTCAAATGCAGACTTCCTCTTTGTCCTTTTTCGGGGCTACTACCATGCCACAACACCAAACCGTTGGTTCCTCCACACAGCTGATGACCCCTAGATTTTTCATCCTCTCCAGCTTTTTTTTTTTTACTTTGCCCATGAGAGGCAATGGGATCTGCCGTGGCATTTTAAGAGAAAATGGCTTAGTTAACACAATGTTACATGTTCAGTGTATGGGCTCCACAAATGGACTTTCACTTTTCCTCCATAATACTCCAACTTAAATTAAAATTTACTTTCGGTGATAATTTTATTTTATATATTTGTCTGCAGTGTTCCCTTTACAGATGTACCCCAATTCTCTATTCTGTTTGCAATAAACTCATTGGTCATCTGTTGGTAATGTTCAGCCTGACAGTCAGTTCTGAGTGCAATATTGTTTGGGTAAAAAGTTTTGAGATCCATTAAATCTGGTACAATTTTCAGCAAATTTCATGATGAATTTTTCACATGAAAAGTTTGGATCAAGCTGTAATTTAAATTTTTTTATCACAATTCATTTTCAAAGGTGTGATGATACAGCATATCATGAATTAAATTTCTTTACGCTATCATAACAAACTTTGGTGCAAATGTTCAGAGGCTCGTTCAGTTTAATATTTCATAACTGACAGGAAGATGTTCTCTGAAATCCAGGAAAATATGAATAAAACTGTGCTTCAACATAACCTCTGGTTAGTTCCTGGGAATCTATCAGCTCAGATTTACTATGACAGTGAATTTATTTTGACTGGACTGGATCTGTGGTCTTTCAGAAAAACAAGAGCATTGTGTATTATCAGAGAGCTCCAGCAGAGGGCAGCATGCTGTCATTTTCTGTAGGTTTCCAGTTGCTACTGGTGCTTCAGTCTTCTTCCTGTCAGGATACCTTCAAAGGCTCAAACAGCCAGGTTTGACCCTTACAAGACCATCAAGTTTTGTTCTGTGTCTTAATTCACACAAATTCAAAATTCACACAAGTAACACAAAGTCAAAATTTGCATTGTGTTTATGTCTGAGCACACCTTTAAAAATGTGTATATACATACATGAAGAAAAATAGGTCCTAGGTCCCAGCATTATTACACAAACTGCAAATTCAAATAAAGAATAAAATATCAATTAAATGTTAAACATTTTCACTCATTCAAACAGATGGATCCTTTTTTTCAAGTACAGTATCATCACAGAGCTTTGACTGGACAACAAATGGATAGGATGAACTAGGAACTGTGATGACATTTGATTTTGACAGTCATCAGTTAAGTTAAGTCATTGTGTGTCAAGCTGAGCTACTAAACTCAATGCCCTGTCAATCTCAATCATCAATCATCACCTAAATGGTACAAAAGGTTGCCCACATGATCAAAACTAATTTTACCTGCCCACGAAAAGTAGGACAACCATGCAGAAAACTTCCCGATTAACAACACTGATATGTACTACATATTAATTTATCATAGAAGATGGACAAAAAACAGCTTTCTCACTGTTAGAGAGACTGATGAAAGAATTTGTCAATGAGAAAAAACAATGTGGAAATGAACCTTGAAGAAGCTCTGTTCACTGAAATTGTGGGGATAAATGTTTCGGAGCTGAGGACCCATCTCGAGACCAGTTTCTGCTCCATAAATCAGTCTGACCCTGATTCTGCACAGTCCTGAACGTCGAGCAGCATGTGGTGTGTGATGTGTGGTGTCTGCGTGGCATTTTCAGCAGCAGAGCAGAACACTGTGTTTTCATCAGAGTGTTCCTGAGAGCTGCTGCTGCTTTCTGACCCAGTTTCCCTGCTTGACTTGACTGGGTTGTTTCCAGTGCTGCTGTGGGAGGTCCCCACTGGGTCCCCTTCACAAACACAAACACTGCTCAGTATGCTCTCTCATGTGTAGGCAAGCCTTTACTTTTTGTCCGTGAAATTCTGCTGAAATGTAAGTAGCATTTACATATTGTGACTGCAATGAATTTTATCCAATCCGTGACACCAGCTAACCTCATTACTATTTATTTCTTGACTGTGCTCAGTGCACAGTCACATAATCTTTAAAAGGTCTATTTGTATATGTTCCCTGTTTGATTGCACATCATAGTGATTTTATTCAGAGCAGAAAATCAATACGTGCATTCCCATCTGCCTGTTTTTATGTGCATTTTTATTTTGAGCATAAAATGCTGAAACTTTTGAAATTTAAATATTACAAAAATGGTTTTTACCCTTGGCTGATGTGAAGAAGTTGGGGGTATCAATAAAAACCAAAGTGAAACAGACTCAGTGAATAAATGATGAAACAGAGAGAAATGTCAGATTCCCATCATGCTTTCTGCAAGGTTTTCCATCATTTCACACCAGTTCGAACAAAATGTGGTCCGACCTCATCTACAGTGCATTTACCTGTTCTGTCCATACTTGGTCTGGTCTACTGACCATTTCCCCCATTTCCAGTCTATATGCTAAGCTAAGCTAACCAGCTATTAGATGTAGCTTAATTTTATCTGAATACACATGGGGTCTGTCTGAGAAAGCAAATTAGAACCAAATTATTCTTCCAAGGCCTCGGTATGCTTCAAATGAAGTGCTTGTTGGGGAATGCTGCGTCTGAAAATGTTTGTAACTTTCCAAATGAACAATTTGAAAATCACACAATTAATTGGTGTGTTGTTCCAAGAAGTTTAGTATAGCTGTGACCTAGTTCAGGGGTCAGTTCTATGTCGGTGTTGTTTGCTGCCATATTTTCATCACCGACACGCAATGAATCTTGGGATAGGTTGGTCCATGTAGGAGCCACCCATTGGCGCCTTTGTGGCCCAGGAAAAGAATCAGCCACAATCTGACTTCAAATGCAGCTTCCGAAGGATGCAACCCCTGAATTTGGACATAGCTATTGAGTAACAGATCCATGACTTTGAAGGTTGATTAGACACTGTAAACAGAGGTTTATGAAGCTATGAGACATGATTTTACAACTCTGGGAAGTTATCACAGTCAAATGAATTTGGTGCCTCTTTATTCATGCAGGACTGAAGTCGGTTTGAGTGTGGCCTCGTGCAGTGATTGGCCCAGGTGTGTGGAGGTGTAAAAGCATGGGGCAGGGTATTCACTTTCTTTTTTCATTCTCCACATTAACTATAACCATGAGATTTAATTTACAGCATGTCTTCATACTCCATCATTTCAAGCCTTCGCCATCCTTCAAACACTGTTAGACAATCCAATTATAACATTCCTGCAATGATCCTATAGAGACTTGTAGTCTGTGTCGTGTTACTCAGTAATGAGTTTGCAGTGACCATATGACGTGTACATACTGGACATTTTTTCAGTGCAGTCTGGAGAAATGTGTGGGAGGTCTGAGGTTTAAACTGGAGCCAGCTAAAATGGAGAGCAGGAGGTTGAGCACAATAACTGTTAATGTGCGCTCCATAAGAGAATAAGTTTATGATGAAAGAGGGATTCATGTATTTTTTTATTAGATTTTTTTTTTTTTTGTATTTTACATAAAAATAAAAGCTCAAAGCTAAAAAGCTCAAAGCTTTGTTCTCACCCCCCTCACTCTGCTCCGTCTGTTTCCTCTCTTAGGCTCCTTGGAAAAAGGTTCAGGACTTCAAAAAACCAGGACTTTGATTATGTATTAATTTATTTATTGGTTTTATTGGGACCTTCTACCTATCTGTGTACTGATCCTTTGAACATCATTTTCATAACAGTTTTTAAGTGTGTTTTTTTGTTTGTTTGCTGCTTGTCTTCCTTGTACATGTAGCTGAGTAAACAACAAGAGAAAACCTCCTGTTTCAGCAGAGTATTTCAATCACATTTTGATAATGATGGATGAGTATTTAGCTCCATCCAAATATGTTATATACTGCTGGATTTGATCAACGACCATGAATCATGTTATTAAGATGAGCAACATGTGGAGGTTTAAATGTATATGTGTATTTAATGACTAATATGTGAGAATTTATTTGTTTAATAAATGTATTGTGTAAGAATAAGTTAATGTTTTGATTTGAACAATTCAACACTAGGCCTATATGGCTTATATATAGACATATTAAGGCACTTCATGGAGTTTACATATGACACATTTGAAATGAATGGGGATTATTTGCTGATTATTATTTGCTCCCAGTCCACTGGGGTGACTGGGATGACCACTCGGGACATGTGCACCTGACCATGGCCATGCAAGTGGCATACCCCCCGGTGTCAGACGGTGACGAGAAGTCGTTGATGTTCTCGAGAGATCCCAACTTCAGACTGGGTGAAGTGGTGGTTCTGCTGGAGCTACACGATCAGCTGGAGTCCACAGAATGTATAATGTAGATGGACGTACTGAAGTTCTGGGTCCGAGCCGGGCTCACGGGAACAGAACCACCACCGCTGGAGGAGCTCAAACAAGGAGAGAAAGCGGGGATAAAAGGCCGGGGCTGTCCTTTTCTAATATGACCGATATGGAGACGGGGATGCTCGGTGGGCATACACTGAAAACCCTCGGCGGCAGTGGCGGAGCTGCCCCAGCTGCTACTGGACCTCCTCCTCCTCCTCCTCCTCTATCATCATCATCATCATCATCATCATCATCCCACCACCACACACCTCCGCCGTTCAGCCACTTTTTTCAGCAGCAGCACCACCAGCGGCAAACCCACAACAACAAAAACAACAACATAAACAACATCCAGCGGGGCCAGGGAGAGAGCAGCGGGAATAGACAACGCCATGGAGGAGAAGAAAACATCCTCCTGGTGGGGAACAGCCGAGCAGAGGAGCGCCATCACCAATACCACCTGAACAAGAGTGAGGAGGAGGAGGAGGAGGAGGAGGAGCAGCGGATGGATGCCAGCCTGGGATCAGCCACCAACAACAACCCTCCTCCAAGTGGGACCAGCTCCGAGTTTAATCATTATTATGGGAATGGAAGAGGAGGGCCTTGCTTTGATCAACATGGCGGACAACAAAGCCCAGGGACTGGGGTAACAGCGGCGCTCTCGGTACACAAAACCATGGACCAGGTTCAGAACTCCCACGAAGGCTATAACAACAACAGCCCGTACAACCACTACCCGAACTATCGACCCGGCTACGGGACTAGTGGATACGGAGGTATGATGAGTCCCTCACGCCAGGGGAACAATCTGATGGGCCCGGGCAGCGGTAGCTCGGCCGCTGCTAACCACAGCAAAGCGGTTATGGCTGCTACCAGCTCCCCGGCTGGAGGTGGAAGCGGCGGCGGCGGCAACACCGGAGGATTTCAGCGGTTTCCTGGACAGGGTCAGCAGCAGCAGCACCCGTCCGGGGCTACACCGACTTTGAACCAGTTATTGACGTCTCCGAGCCCGATGATGCGGGGCTATGGAGGTGGATATCCCGACTATAATAATCCCTCAGCACAGCAGCAGCCGAGCATGGGGTTGGCTAAAGACATGGGTTCCCAGTACGGCTCGGCTGCTCACGGCTGGGGAGGACAACAAAGAAATCACCCGGCCATGAGCCCGGGGAATAACGGGCAGGGAAGCGGCAGGTCCCAGGTGAGTAACACCTTGTTAAACACTTTGTTGTTTGCTGATAAACTCACATGGATAATCAGAGACAGTCATCTTGTTCCGGCTAACGTGCTAACCTGCCAGTTAGCCGCTATGCTAACCCAAATAGCTAACCTCAGTTAGCTGTTGAGCTAAGTGTAGTTTTTATTTCCACTGCAAATAGACATCATTTACACAGCCCGACACTAATTAAAGGGCTTATTTCACTGTCAAGCAAATAAGGCCTCGTCTTTAGTCAAGTAGTTGCAGAAACATTAATAAATAACCACCAAATGAGTTAACAGTAGTTAGTAAAGTCATGGTTTTGGTTCTGTGTCCAAGGTGACTCCGTTTTTAGCTCGCGAAGCTAAGCTAACATTAGCATTTTAGCTGTAGTTAACCGAGCCGCACAGGCCTGCAGAGGCTGCATGTATGTATGCAATCACACCGCGGACTGTAGCTGCTGTGACAACATATAATCAGCTGTTATAGTGATAAATAAAGTCTGGGGACGTTGACATTTGGTGACAAGATCTGACAGTTAGCTTTCTGACAGCTCCATTCAACCCTGACATCTACTTATTGCCTCACATATGCTAATTATCTCTTTTGAAGTAATTTGAGGTGTCATTGCTCTGTAAGTTGCTTCTGTTGTTGGAGAACAGACCCCCCTATGGAGAGGAGTTTTATCAGCGGTGTGAGATGCTGGTGAGGCCGCTCCTTTAGCTTCAGATCTGGCCTCAGCTTTGTTGGGTTGGAGCCCATTATGGCCCCATCGCCACACAAGAGCCCTGACCTTCACACATGCAGATTAGCCATGTGCCCATTACCACCGGCATAACACTGGAGCTAAATATTCAGCATGCTTCCCCCCACCACAACATCCCGGGCCTGCAGGAGGCCTGAGCCCCCCCGCCCTTTACCCACACTGCCTCATGGATCACTCCTGTCTGGTCATTCTTGTTTCATGTCGCCGGGACAGTTCACCATAACCTCTGATCATTAAATACACTGGAGGTTACAGAGTAGGATGGTAGAGTCTTTTTGCTGCAACTAATGACAGTTTTCATTATAGATAAATCAGCTGATAATTTTTTTTTCAATTAACCACTAGGTCCACAAAACAAATAAAATAAATAAAAAAGAAATAATGAAAAATACTAATCACACTGATGTTTCAAATGTCTTATTCTATCCGAATCAAAAATCCAAAACCCCAAAGAGATTCAGTTTAAAGAACATATATGAGGAAGAGGAGCAGCAGTCATACTATTAGAGGAACCGTTTTTTCACAATTCTTGCCTAAAAGTGGCTGAAGCAATTAATTGATCATCTGAATAGTTGCTGATTATTATTCTTTCAATCAACTTATCAATTAATTGACTAATTGTTTCGGTTCTATTCTGCTTGATTAATCGTTTGGTCTGTATAACATCAGATAACAGTAAAATAAATATACACCCCACAGTATCCTAGAGTACACGGTGACATGACTAAATGTCTGGTTTTCCAAAATCCAAAATATTTAGTTTACTGTAATGTAAGATCAAGAAAAGCAGAAAACAGTCATGTTTGTGTCCCTGGAACCAACAAGTTTTTGCCATTTTTGCTTGAAAAATAATTTGAATCAATTATCAAAACGGTTGCTGATTTAATTTTCTTTCAATCAACCAATCAGGATGTGACAAAAATGTAAGTTTATAATATAATTAATATACGTTTTTATCAGTTGTGTTTGTCTATATTGTTTAAATTATTTAACATTAGTTAAGAACTGACTAGTAGATTAGTGTTGATCCACAGAAAATAAACACTTTTAATTGTCGTCTTATCATTTAAGTTGTTGGTCATTGATAATTCTCTATTTTATGTTATGTAATTGTAATTTGAATATTTGGGGGTTTTGGACTGTCACAAATTGTGATGTGACTTTTTTTTTAAGCCAATTATATGGGCATTTTTGCCTTTTATTTGGATAGAGATAGTGAGAGAGAGAGAGAGAGAGAGAGAGAGAGAGACAGAGAGAGAGAGACAGATATAGGAAAGTCGGGGAGAGAGAGGGGATGGCATGCAGTAAAGGGCCACAGGTCGGACTCGAACCCAGGCTGCCATGGCCAGGACCAAGCCATACTGGCACACTCCCCACCAGGCCAGCCACTGGAGTGCCCCATGATGTGACTTTTTACTTATCAAATGATTGACTGAGAAATTAAATTGCATATTAATCAGTGTGTTAAAAAAAATATAAGTAATATTTTCAAAGACAATACTACATTTTTATTTTTCTTGTATTCTGCAGCACAAGTCATTTGCAGCTATTGTCATAGGTAAGAGGCACAACTTGGAGGATGTGTTACAAATCTTTGCTATTGTGCAGCGAATAGAATATTCGATGGTCAGAAGAGTCTTTAAAGATTCTGGAAATGCTCTTTAAAACACCAGTAAGTGCCGATAAATGACCTCCTGAGTTTTTCAGTGATTGTCAGCGATTTTATCTTTCAGAAAAACTGATGCTCGGCATGAGAGACACATTAACACAAGAGAGGCACAAACTGGGGCAAACCAACCTCCTGATAAGTCATTCGGGATGTTGTTTATCGGTCTTTCTGTCTAGGACATTTCAGATTGATTCACAAAACAAACCATTATTGGTATGTAGTATCACATCCTTATATCGCCCAATCCTAGTTTTAAATAAAACCTTTAATCCTTAATGTTTTCTTCCAGTACATGATGGATTTGTGAGCTGCTCTGCCAAAATATCTCAAGCTTTCATTGTTTTACTGGAATAATTTAGCTTTAATCAGCTTCTGTAGAGTTTTATGACTGATCTGAGAATCAGACTGTCAGATGTTTTATTGAGCATCGTTGATGGCCAAGTTTCCCTCCCTTCTGTTTACATCTGGATTATTGATCAGGTTTTTTTCCAGCTGGATCATCCTCCCTTACTACTACCAGCTGTGTGGACTTGGCAGAGCTCCAGAGCCGCTCCACTTTGTTTTTTATGTGTATTTTCTCTTCTCAGCTGATGGATGGAGATGTTCCATTCAAAAAAAAAAAAAAACATGAAAGAACAGGATTAAATGTCTGGATCATTTGTGTGTGCGTGTGTGTGTGTGTAAAACCATAAATGGTTTCTATTTTTAGCTGCAGCCGTGAAACATCTGTTCGCACTGAGTCACTTCTCTCACCTACTATTATGTCAGTGTGTCAAATACAGTGTGTGTGAATATTAAAGTGTACCCAGGTGTGACTGTTGACTCCAGTTTAAAGTGGCCTCCCAGGCTTTTGGATTGCTCACATCTTGCTGCTCCAGTTGATTCTGTTCTGACATGAGAGTTTAGTCCCAATTTTGTTTACATTGTACCTGATGATACATTGGCCTTTGAGCTAATACATTAGCTGCAGAGTAGGGCACCACGAGCTGGGTGTGACATGTAACACAACAGTGACAGTGGACAGTGTCCTATCCTACCATAACGGTTCTCCAGCTTAAAGGTAGAACCCCCCCCCCAGTTCCATGTTTGTACCTTTTTATACAGAATGGCGGCGTAACATTCTCGCCTTGAGCAGGCTGTGGAAAAGGTAATCAGGAGGGGCAAGTTGCTTCAGGCTTGTGTTGTACAAGGTAATGTCTGATCATGTTGGAAATCAAAAGTGTTGATAGTTAATTCGAACAGCCACACTGGAAGGTAAGGTGAAAAGTCAGCGGTCACAGAGGTGGGTGATGTGATATATTTTATATGGAGATAGTAGCGCATGCTTTCAGGCGTCTCTTCAGGACGACATCGGCTTTTCACATTAAAGGTGACATAAATAGTTGTGTGAAGAATAATGAGCCTGATGAGCAGTTCAAACCATGACTCCTTCTTCACCTCTACACAGCTGACCCATCACGGCATGAGGTGGGTGTGGTTGTCAGGTCATCGGTTTCAGAAAGTCACAGACATAGTCGTACACAACAAACCTAAGTATACCTTAAGTACACTCAGAGGTGCCTCAGAGTGTACTGTTCCCTTTTAGCTGCTAATACTAGTGTTAAATGCCTTGTATTTACTACTCCTCTGAGTACACATGTTGCCTTTGTAAATTAGCAGCAAGGTCTGTGGTGGCCCCCTCCAGAATATTTTCTAATACTGCTGCACATTGTAACAACTGAAAATGTGATTGTAAACATCAGGTAGTGACATTTCTGCAGATCACGAACCAAAGTACTGGACAAATTAAAACATAGATGAAAAGTCAGAGGATTTACCGCAGTTCATCCTGAGGGGAACATGAATGTCTGTAACAAATCTCATCATTATTCATCCAATAGTTGTTGAGACATTTCAGTAGCCTGGATCAGTGACAGAATCACTCATCATCCAGTCATTTCTCTTGCTCAGGTGCCGGCCATGGACCCGATGGCGATGAAGCGCTCTCAGCTCTACAGTATGAGCAACAACCCGTACTCCCAGCAGCAGCAGGGGGCGCCGTACCCCGGCCAGCCCTACGGCTCTCCCTCCCCCCACCGATACCCGATGGGGATGCCCAGCAGAGGGCAGATGGGGATGGGAGGGATGCAGTACCCTCAGCAACAGGTAGGAGATGGTCTGTCAACCTTTTTGAAAAAGAAAAAACAACTTAATTTCAAACTCTAAACGTACTGATACTGAACTTGTATCAGTACCTTAGTTTGGGGTTGTATCCCATGATGCCCTCTGTGCCCTCTTGATCACTTTTGAAGAGAGATTCTTATTTATTTTGCATCTGATGGCAGCGGTGCAGGAACAGGTCTTCCATTCGTATCTTCAGGTTTCAGACCAGACTTGGGTCTGGCGGTTTGGTTCAGGTCTTACAGATGTTTGTATGAGCGGGTTTCAGGTCTCATTTTTAGGCCTGTGCAAGATTAGATGGTTATCCAATAGCAATGTTGATAATTAACCGTTTAACCATTAACCAACAATAAGAATTTTGACCGATTTAAAACTAGCAGTTAAACAATAAAAAAATGTAAGTGTGTATACATATATTTACTGTATATCTATGAGAGAAAATCCTCCGTCATTGGATACTAATCCTGGCTGGTGGAAAGCTAATCAGATGTGCTTCTTCACTGCGGGTCTCACAGTTAACAGACTGCGCACCAGGCTGACCCCACAGCATGTCCACATGTTGCTATTTCAAAATCCAGTAGACAAGCTGTCTGCTATGCTGAGGACTGAGGTAGACCTGCCCTGTTTATTTTATTTTGAGGTCTGAAAAATGCGACTACAAGTTTAGGTTTTGTTCACCTGTTAGCTGTTTTTGATCATTAATTAGCTTAGAGCGGAGGAGGAGGAGGAGGAGGAGGTTTTCCTTACAGCGCTCTCCGCACTGCAGGATTCAGTGTGTGTTTTCGTGTCGTTAAACTGTTTATACATTAGAAAGTCTGGCTACTATGTGCTATTTATTTGAAGTTATAAAATATTTTCCTACACAGGAGATCTAGGCTATTATGCCGGTTCTGCACATGTAAAAAAACAAAAAAACATTTGTTGTATTGGGTCACAGACCCTCGTCCATTCTAGTATATTTTAATCTTGTTGGTTAATGAGCATTGGCTAAATTTCAAAATGAGCATCCTATTATCCAGTTGTCTTTGGGTTTGATTTAGGTTTTTTGGTATCACAAAGCTGCCTCACTTTTAGTTGGGTTACATCACCCTGGTAACCTGTGCTGCCAGGCTAACCTGCTGGGCCAGGTTAGCTTCAGAGGATCTAATCAACACCTGCCAACGGTGTAACTACTGACCAATCAGCTCACTGTAAACAGTCATTATTCATGCAGCACATTTCAAACACAGAAGCAATTAAAAAAACCATTAAAACTATTAGCATCAAAAACCAGAATAAAATCAATGCAGACAGAAAAAAATTATATTTAAAAATGAGATAAAATGAAATAAAGAACATAAAATGAAACTAAAATTTAAAAACACAAAAGTAATAATAGAGCAGAAATACAGTTATAGTGCAGCTGCAGGCATAAGTTGCCCTTAATGCAATAAAGGAAATAAAGAAATCAATCAATCAAAGGCACCGGAGAACAGCAGAGGTTTTAAGATGGATGTTATTAGAGATCAGTCAAATCGTTTTGCTGTTCCAGACTTCACTCTGGTTTTAAAACACAGCTTCTAAGGAACAGAGGGAGGGTTCATCACAATAAATAAATACATAATAAAGATTAAAGCTGCATTTTAATTGAGAAAAGATTCTTTGGTTCCCGACAGGATTTCTGACAGCGTTAATGCTGTTACTCTTATTCCATCGCTGCAGCTCAGAAGTGAAAACTAAACCCTCTGCTGTAATTTATCAGAAAATGACACTCTGAAACAAATGATCCAACACAGTCTACAACTAAATACCACTGAATGTTTGTCAGCCAACAGCCAAATGTTGGGAAATGGGTGAGTTGTTGTACTGGAGCAGCTTCTTACGCTCACAGCTACAGTCTGTAAGTTGTCCTTTGTGTGCTCAGAGCGGTTCAGTGTTTCCTGCCACTCTGAAGCTGGGATGAACTCACTTGTTTTGAGAGACTTGAGAGCTGGTTGTTTGTTCATGGAGTAGACCCACTGATTCATCTGCAGCATCACCGCCTCGTCACTGGATGAGCCGCTCGCAGGACAACACAGCTATTGATGCTGTCAAACCACGTGGCTCCCGCAGAGGGGGCCGGGCTGGGCCGGGCCGGGCCAGTCTGGGTCAGGCTATTCCTGGTGCAGACTGGGCTCGGGCTATTTTTAGACTCCAGACTTCTGGTCTGGGTCTTGTGCTGCTACTCAGAGCAGATGGGCTCCCCCAGGTTTATCAGTGTTTACTGACGACTGATGCTGCTTCTGATCCGCCAACACTGACCTCCTGTAACCTTCAAAGCCAACTGTGTTGAACAGCACTTACTGCAGACTTCAATGAAGTATAGAATAATATGATTGACACTCTGCATCATAATGCGCTCCACTGCTGTTCATGTGTAGGATTAGTGTCATTTTATCCAAATATTCCTACATACACAGCTTCTTTTTCATGCATGTGCAGTGGTTCCAGACGTCTGTATGCGGCCATTTTTACCAGTGAACTTTATCATCAAAGATGAGCGTGAAAGGGAGTCAAAGTTAATGCTTCCATGTTGGTCGATATAAAAGCCATTTCCAACCATGACTTCAAAACACAACCTCTTTACAGTATAGGCGTTAAACTGAGGGTTACATATGTAACTATGGTTCTGTGAATTCCTGGTGGCTGCCAGATGTAAATAAAAGGAATAGAAGTGATGTGAGCTGTGAGGAGGGTGGGGCCCCTCGTGGGTGGGTAGTCTGTGTTTGAATAAATATTTTGAGCTTGTATAGCAGGCGTGTTTAAACTGAAACAAGGTGTTTAGTTGCTCTTAAATTAGTTTAATATTATATTTTATAAAATTCTTCTGACAGTGTGGTAGCGGCGTGGAGTCTCCAGTATACAACCCTGTGGGAAACCCTGGTATCCTTTAACAAGGTGCACAATCCCTGCCAGCTCCAGACATGACCCAATTAATCTCCTAAAGACCCCTGGGACAAAGGTTTGTTTTTGGGCCCCTGTTGACCCCCACTAGAGATATGTCATTATGTGTGTCATTATTTGCTCAGACACCAACTAGTACTCCACAGCTGAAACGATTAGTTGTTTAACTGATCACTCGATTGAAAGAGAAGTCTTGTTCCAGCTTCTGGTTTCCCAGTTTTCTCGGACAGTAAACACAACATCCGACTGTTGTGTCGTCAGGGAATAATGATGAGCTTTTTCATTAATTTGACATTTTATACACTGAACAATCAATCGGCCGTTGAAAACAAATCGTAAGATGTATTGATAATGAAAATAATTGTTGGTTGCAGCCTCACAGTACTTCTGTGATGGAATATGACCTTGCCTGAGGTTTTCTGTCTGTAAATGACCATTAACTCTGTTTGATTGATAAATGGTATAAAAGTTTCTGAAATGTGTCTAAAAATATAGATATTCAGTTTATGGTCATGTCTGATGAAGAAAAGGGTCAAATTGTTGGATGTGAGAAGCTGGAACCAACTAACGTTTAAAATTTCTGCTTAAAAAATGACTAAAACGATTGTTTGATTATCTAAATAGTTGCAGATTCATTTTGGTTGCAGCTCTACACACAGTTTACAAGCTCAGAATCACTTGCCACAGTGGTCTACAGTGCGCTACCATATAAACACAACCTGCTGGGTTTAAATCTAGATTTGGATCTTTGTTTTCACTGATCTCTCAGTATGTTCTTGTCTCTTTTATTTCGTTCGACTTTCTAGTAAAAGTTATAATACCAAACATATTTTTGAAGTCTTGAGGAAACCTCACTGTTGGATCCTGGTTTCTGCTGTTTCCGGTGGACCCTCTGCAGGTGGTTTTCTCAGCCATTCTCTCCTGGCTCAGGTCTCTGTTCTCAGGTCGTAGATTTCTCGGATCTGTTTTCTTCCCCTGGAGCTTTTCCTCTGACAATCGTCTGATGTCGTCTCACAGATTCCTCCAGAGAGAGATTGTCATCACCGAGTAACGGCGACGTTATTACATCATTACAGGTTGACAGAGGTTTTTTTTTTTTCTTTTTTTTTTTTTGTTCAGCCAGAGGGAACTTGTCAGTGATGTTGTCTCTGCTCAGATGAAGACAGCCACAGGGGCTAAGAGAGGAAAGGTAATGACTTTTATGTGAGCGAGGCCCCAGATGGCCTCAGGACTCTTCCTTTATTAACTCTCTGATTTCAGATGAAATTGGATGTCGACCAGTCAGCGTCCCCCCTCTGTGCTGGTTAGATTGATCCTGGTTTTTGGGTCCAGGAGGTTTCTTTTCCACTGGTGACTTTCTGACAGAACATTTTAGAGCAATTCTTCAAGTCTGAAACCCAAATCTGGGACTGTATCCTTCGTATTTTTTAAAGGAATAGTATGGAAACTGTGGGGAAATCCTCCAGATTAAAGTCCATTTTAATCAGGTTATTTGCGGGTTTTGAAAAGTCTCAATAAGAGTTAGAATTCAGGTCCTTTTTGTTTAATTCCCACGATTGTCCTTCATTAGTTACTGTCCCAAGATATTTATATTAATTTACAACTTACAACAAAAATAATTTCCTTAGTTTTCTCTGTATTTACCTGAAGAAAACTGGCAGATTCGTGTCAACAAACACTTCTACTCAGGGATCAAACCAACATTCGCTGTGCCATTGGCAAATTTATCATTGCAAACATGCAAATGTCTTGCTTTGTCCGACCATCAGTGCGAAACCCAGAGAGATTCAGTTCCCTGTGATAGAAAGAAGAGAAAATGATTTCAAAGATCAATCTATCAATATTTTTCACTTCACCCTGTGGCCTCTGTAGCACCGATGTTAGCACACTCTCATTAAGTCTGCTTCAGACTGCAGACATCATCATCATCATCATCATCGTCCCTGACTCCTGCTTTCATCACCACACTGATATTACACCACGGTTGCTGAAGTGCCTGAGCACATGCAGGAGTTGCTCTTGAGCAAGGCAGTTAATCGTCAGCGCAGCTCCAAGCGCTCCAC